GACGCAGAGCCCGCCGCCGGCCCCTCTGCTGGAGGACGCGGAAAATGCACGGCGTGGGGGCCGCCTGTGGGCACCCCGCGTCCGCTCCTCCCGGGACCTCGACAAGTCCCTTTCCCGCTCCCAGCCGCCGTTTCCCCGTAAATAAAACCTGGACGATCTTACTACGCACTCTTGGCGCGGTTGCAAAGAGCGAATGCATGTGGCAGCGAGCGGCAGGAGTAAGCGCATCACCAACCCGGGCCATTGGGTTGCACTTTTAGAAGGGGTGGGGGGGGGGGCACGTTCCCAGGCTTCTTTTTTAATTCTTGAAGGAAAAACATAGAAACTGCGTGAGAAAATGCGTGATGACAAAGTTTCACTGGACATCGGGGACACTTTCAGGGGTACGTTCCCAGGCTTCTTTTTTAATTCTTGAAGGAAAAATATAGAAACGTTTAGTTTTTGTTGAGAAAATGCGTAATGACAAAGTTTCACTGGACATCGGGGACACTTTGAAGGAGAAAGAGTTAGTGTTTTGTTAATGAAACCTGTTTCTTGAGCACTCACTTTGCACCAGGCACTGTTCCAGGTCAGCACCAGGATACATTTGCTAAGTCATTTAATTCTCAAAACCCTGAAATGGGACTCGGCACTCCCACTTTACACAAGAGCAGTCAGGGACTGGAAGCCCGGAGGTCAAGTCCACCGGGATGATACAGCGAGCTTCTAACTCCGGAGAGGGGCACTCAGGACACAGGAACACAGGACTTGTAATGGGGTGATTGGGAAGTCTCTGTCTAAATCAGGACGTTTCTGAGAGTAAAAGGTGGCACCCCTAATCATTATGTTGGGGTCATGGGCACAGACAGGGACTGCCCTGGGCAAATGGCACACTTGGTCACTAGAAATGCTCCTCCTTCCCCGCAGAGCTTGTCCCTGGGGATTGGATCCAGGAATACTCCTTCCTCGTTCACCCGTGGGGTTTGCATTTGGCCGAGCTGTGTGACCTTGAGCAAGGCACTTGACCTGTCTGAGCCTCAGTCTCCTGATCCATAGAATGGTTGAAACGAGCACCTCTAACCAAGCAGGGGCTGGTGTAACTTATTATTTGCAGGGGATTTAAGCGGGTAGTAAAAGCTTGGAGGGAAGAAGGGCTTAAGAGTTATAACCCTTGGTTGATGGGAGCCCTTCCACCCGGAGGCCAGAGACCAGAGCCAACTTAGAGCCCTCATAGAGAGCTGACTTAGAGTACAGCACTCATAACACACGACCCGGCTCGGCCTCAGATGGCCTATTGCCCCGGCCAGTAGGCTGGTTGGCCCTCCTCCCCTCAGCCATTCTGCAAGGCAGGGGCCACCCCACCTCCCACCGCTCAGCTGCTGGGCTACATTGCTAGCCAGATGTTCAACAGCTGCCACATTCCACCCATTGCAGCCCCACCTCTGGGGCCGGAGTGGCTCTCCTCACAGGCATGAGTCACGAGACGTCAGCCCCGAGGTACGTCACTGAGGAATGGAGAGGAGGCCTGTTCTCTACCCGCAGGGGACACTAGGACTGGGCTTGAGCAGAAAAAGCCATCATTGCCAAGAGCAGCCATCAGAACAGCTGTGTGCCTGTGTCAGCAGAGGAGCCGGTGTGGGGCAAGGGGGTCCTGGGGGCATCGGATCCTGTCCCGGAGGTCTTCAAAGCACCCCCAGCTCCTCGGCACCACCTAACACCAGACACCAGTCATCAAACGCACTGTAGAGCAACGGCCTCCTGTTCCAGCTTCTCTCCGAGATCTACCAAGTCACTCTCCGTGTCCACTCCCCACCCCCCAATCCCTCTATGCCCCGGTTTTCCGGTTCTCTGTGGAAGGGCACACCTCTTCTCTGAACACTCGCCCCCAGCAGGTTTTGGGGAGCACAGCCCAGCTCTTATTACATGGTCTGAGATGCAGAGACCCTCATTCTGAATAGGAGTGGGGAGGACCTGGCCTGAGCTGGGTCAGCCTTTCCTGGGAAAGTAGAATCAGGACAGTTTCCAGCTTGTTTCTGCCAAGGATTTGACCCGATGACGTGCACACTTGGGGGCCATGGTGTTGGGAGCAGTGGGGGCATCCTCTTCCATCAAGGGCAGGAAAAGCAGAGAGCGAGCGGCTCTGCAGAGAGAAAAGACTGGAGCAAACAAGGCGAGAGCAGGGCCGGGGAAGGGAGAGGCGGCTCCTGGCCCCAGGCTGTCCTCAGGCTTGGCAGCCCCTCCCACGCCCTCTGGACTCAAACTCTTCTGCTTAAAACGGCTCAGGATCGGTTCAAGCCTTGTGTCTAAGAGCCCTGACTGGATGCTCCGCAATCCTGCCTATGCGACCTGCATTCCTGGGGTGACCCGTGCTGGCCAAGCCCCCACCGTTCTGCTCGAAATGTTCCCCTCTGTCTCCCCACCCTCTGGGGCCTGACCCAAAACTCTCTTCCTCATTCTCAATTCTGTCCCTCCCTGAACCTGTCCTGCTAACCACTAGGTTCTAAGTTCATTTCCTGCCTCAGTGTCTTCAGACTGAACCAGAGGTCAGCTGAGGGCCTCTCTGGACCCCACCCTTCAAACTGCCCAGTCCCTAGACTTTGCCTGATAAGCCCCCTGGAGCAGGTGCCTGTGGTCGCAGGAGCCCAGCAAAATCCCTCCCGCAGGAAGGTCCTGGCCGAGCCAGTGGGCTCAGCTTTTGTCACCTTCCTGCTACTGCGTGTGGGCTAAGATGGATCATCACATGTTCTTCCACCCACTCCCTGGGCACTGAGTGTCACACAGTCGGGGTGTGCCATGTGTGTAGCCATAACCAGGGCCTCCGCTGCCAACCAGCATGGGAGAACAGAAGGTACACCGCCCGGCTAGTAAAGAGGCCCTTTATTTCCACATTAAACAGAATCGGTCTCTGCTGCTGCTTGTCCCCCCTCTGGGGGCAGGAAGAGCTGTGGGAGGGCCTGGGCCCCTTGAGGCACCCATCCGCCCAGTGCCAAGGCCCTGCTGTCTGTGGGAAGAGGGCCCGGGAAGAGGGAGGAGTGCCAGGAGGAAATGCCAGGGAATCCTAGGCAGAGGCCAGCAGGGGGGCCTGGCCACTGGGGGATTCTCCAGCAGGACACACCGGAAAGGCAGCCAGGCTTCCACACCCAGCAGAGGCCTCCCTCATAGCAGGGTGGGGCACAGAGCCACAGGGCTCATTCAGGAAGTGTCAATCAGTCCAAGGCCATCTGGGGTCATGGGGTCACAAAGGGGAGCTCCCTGCCACTCCAGCTCTTTGGACGGGCCACAGGCTAAAAAGGTCCTGAGAACGAAGTCTTCCATGAAGCCAGTGATCTCTCCGCAGGGCTGGGTCGTGGTGCTGGTTGAAACCACCCTGAATCTCTGGGGATGCGCCCGCAGCCTCCCAGGTACCGACCTGCCCGGGACTCTGCTTTCAGGAGAGAGGGAGCGTGTTGTGCCACAGGGTGTTTAACATAACCCCCCAGCACCCAGAGGGTGTGCAGCACACATCCAGTGCTGGACGAGCATTTGTGGATTGACTAATGCATGTATGTGCACAGATGGACCTGAGCACATGCGTGCACCACACACACAAGCATGAGTACAGGTGCATGTATATAAGTGTCAGTGACACTGTGGTGTGCGTGTTGACGCATGCCCGGGGCGGCAGTGTACACGGTGGCTGCCTGGGTGACCCACGAATGACGCACATTCGATCCTGCTGGGTGGAGGGGTACAGGCACGGCCTTGGAAGGGTGTGTGAGTGTCCGCTCAGGGGAGGGATGCAGCGCAGGCTCTGGGCGCACCCATGGGCGTATGCCCTGAGCTGGGGGCTCAGCGGGGTCCAGTGGCCCTCACTGCCAGCTGGCACAGCTCTTGGGCAGACTCTGCAGAATGGCCTCCAAGTTCTGCTTGTCGGCGCGGATCTCGGCAAGGTCACTCTCAAAGGTCTGGATCTGCAGCTCCTGCTGCTCAGACTCCTGCTCCAGCAGCCTCAGTTTCCCCTGCAGGGCCCCGGGCGGGCCCAGCCGGAGCCTCAGGCGCTCCAGTGTCCTCTGGGTCTCATTCAGAGCCTGGGCTGGGGCTCGATGGGTGTCCAGGGACCCTGCAGAGGGACAGAGAGCCTCAGCGTGGGCCAGCTCCCTGCGGGCCCCAGGATCCTGTTCGGCCCCACCCCACAGGCCTTCCACAGCACAAACCGTCCAGGATCCCAACTGCCCACAATCCACCAGGAAACCAAGGGACCGAGAGGGAAGTGCGGTGAGGTGGATGAGGGCCTGGTCGGGGCATCCCGCCGAGTTCACAGGCAGGTCCTGGAACTTCCCCCGGGGTGGCACTGGGCAACTGTTAATTTCTGTTGTTGCTATTACTACTATTTGTTAAAAAGAGTCAGGCTTGGTTGAGTCCTGAGCCCATTTCCTCATCTATAAAGCAGTGGTGTGTGCAAGGTCCCCATGCCTGCTGGCTCCAAAATGCTGCGTTGGTTCACCAAGAGCACACCTGTACAGAGACCACCTGTGATGGATGTGGGAGGATGAGCGGCTGGAAACAGGGTCCCTGGCTCTAGACTGATGGCCGAGGAGACAGCTGGGGCAGAAAGGACGGCAGGCCTGGCAAGTGGGCAGCGGGGGTCTGGCCCTGGCCTTGCACAGATTGATTCTATTTCTTGGGGTTAAGGACTTTGGGGAGGCTCCTCAAGTGCAAAACAAGGGGGTGGGGCCAGCTGCTCACATTTGAACTGTGTAGTGGTGATGGTGGCATGGAATCCACAGGCTGCCTCCCCCGCCTGCTACTTGTCAGTAAGGGTGACATTCAACAGAAAGACAGGGCTCAGCCAGGTGAGCATGGCGGGCAAGAGGAAGTTAAGTCCTAAATAGTCTCCAATCCCACAGGATCCTACCTGAATTTCCTGGGCAAAGAAGGCTGGGCTGGACGACAGGAAGCAGAGCCAGGGGCGGGGAAGAGGCACAGGGCGGGGAGGGGTGAGCTCTGTTGCCTGGGCAGGTCCTGCTCCCAGCAAAGACCTGGAGAGGCCCCACTGTCCACAGTAAAGTCCTAACAGCCTCACCTTTGAGGAGATTCAGAATTGGCTTATAGCCTCCAGTCTCTCTGCCTGTCTGGGGCAGGGGCAGCGTCCAGGTGTGTGCTGTTCACTCCTGCCTCCCCGGGTCAAGCACCATGACAGCATGAATGGGTAAATGACAATGACAGCAACAGCCGGAGCAGAGTGTCTGTTCCCTGCCGGGCGCTCTGCCCAGTGCTCCAACTCCTTGGCATCGGGTGTGGAGTAGTGGCTGTGAGTGACACTCGTGCGAACCACGGTCTCCCCGCCGACTGGCTGTGGGACCCCGGCCATGTCATTTAAACTCTCTGTGCCTCAGTTTCAAGAGAATAAGTGTCCTTGCCTCAGGTGAGACTGGGAATTCTGTAAGACCACGTGTGTGAGCAGCATAGCGTGGGCCTGGCCTCCAGTCAAAACACAGGCCTGGGATCCTCTCCCTTCTTATCGATAATGGTAATTGAAAATGCACGCTGTTACATGATGCACCGCGAAGACGTCACATTAAGTGAAATCAGCCAGCCACAAATACTGTAAGATTCCTCTTGTGTGAGGTGCCCAGAGAAGTCAAACTCAGAAGCAGCAGAGCGGTGGGGGCCAGGGGGTGGGGGGAGGGCGATGGGGAGTTAGTGTTGAATGGAGACAGAGTGTCAATTTGGGAAGAAGAAAAAGTTCTGGAGACGGATGGTGGGCATGGTCCCACAGCAGCGTAAATATACTTAACCCACTGAACTATACATTTAAAAATGGTAAGATGGCAAATTTTATGTTATGTATATTTCGCCACAATTGAAAAAAATGCATGCTGTTCATTCCAGCCCAGCTGCTCTGATACTGTCCCCCTGCAGCCCCTCCCCGACCCCGAGGCCTCCATGTCTTGGTGGGTGCCGTCCGCTTCATCGGAAATGTCGCCTTGCTATAAGGCTCATCTCAAATTCTACCTCCTCCCTAGGCGCTGCTACTTCCTGTCACACAGCGCGGCAAGCACTTTCCAAGTTAACGCACTGTTACCCCCATTTCACAGATGGGGGAACTGAGGCTCAGAGAAATAGAGCGCTTCTCCCCGAGTCTCACAGCCAAGGAAAGGAGAAGGCCAGCCTCAGACCCTGGTCTGTCTGATTCCAAGCCAGCACCTGCTCCTTGGTGCCACACGTGCTCTGTGACATTCTCTCTCCTTCTCTGAAACCCTCGGAGAGGGCTGCCCCACTCCCCTGGTGAGTTTTCCGTGTACCCTCCCCCACAGACTAGCGTCCCCTCGAGGCACAGACTGAACTCTGAACTCGCTTCTGGGTACTCTGCCTCCTGTGGGGCCTGGGGCAATTACAAATGACCAGGAGGCTGGGGACGGGGGAAGCCATGGTGATGAAGGGGAGCAGGAAATCTTCCCCAGGACCGGGCCCCAGAGGAAGAACCTGGAGAAAGGGGACTCTGGGGGATCAGGGCCCAGCCTCGGGGTCTCCTCACCCAGCCTGGCGAGCAGCTCTGACAAGGCCTTGACATCCTTCTCCAGGGAGGCACGCGATTCCTGGATCTGCCGCTCCATCTCGCTCAGCCTGGCACCCACCTTTGGGGGGTCGAGGCGGGGTGGGAGGAGGTAGGAGGAGGAAGAAGGGAGGAAGGAGGAGGAGGGAGGAGGAGGGAGGAAGAGCTGGATGGAGCAGTTCCCCACTGGCCCCAGTCCAGGAGGAAATGGTGAAGGCCCTGGCACACGCACCTGCTCAGCTTCCTCCAGCTCCCGCCTGCGAGCTCCTGAGGCTAGCACCTGCCTGGAGGCCTGTCTGAGAGTCGCCTGTGTCTGGCTGGAGAGCCGGCTGGCGTGACGGTGCTCCCGCTTCCCCTCCCTCAGCAGGGCCTTGGCGAGCTGTGGGCGGGCGGCAGAGCAGGGGAGAGAGGGTGAACAGAGGATGTCCTCTCGAGATAAAGCGTTCTGTGGCAATCACGCCAACAGATGCGACAGAGCCAGCGAGAGCTGGGGAGACACACACCTGTTAGAATTTGGCCCCAATAAGACAAAACAAAACAAAACAAAACAAAACCAGCCTAGAGGTTTAGGGAGTAAGGCCAAACAGACCTAAGTGTGACTCCTGGTTATGTGATTTAAGTTACTGAATCAGCTGGGCCCCTAGGACAGCAATGACATCTATTTCTTGAAGCATCGACAGGGTCACCCACGTGAAGCTCCAGGGCTCAGAGCCCGGGACCCGCCACACACCAGTAGGTGTGGAGTAGTCACTTTGCATCCAGGGGGGTGGGTCTGCAGGGCCAGCTCTCACATGACAGTTCTCCCACAGGCCCAGAAGGCAGGAACGTCCCTGTCGTCCCATCTGTGTCTCTGACCTTGGCACCGTCCTTGGCCAACAGCTCGGCTTCCTTGGCCTTCTTCACGGCGCTGGAGGAGACGGATGCCGCATTTCCCAGCATCCTCTCCGCCTGCTTGGTCTTCTTTTTCGAGTCCTCGAGGAGCCTGCCCCGGACGGTGCCTGCCTTCCTCCTCAGCGCAGCCCGGTCCTTGGGCCGAGGAAACTGCAGCTTCATTCCTGCGAACCCAGCCCAGGCTGTGTGAGGAGGGCCTGGCTCATGGCTCGAGAGCCTGCCAGATACCTGGCCAGCCCCAGACCCTCAGACAACATGAGTGCCGGTTCGAGATGCATGAGCTCTGTTTGTAACCTGCTCAGGCTTATCCGAGGGGGACAAGTGAGACATACTGCCCACTGAATTTAAAGATTCATATCATATTAGGATGCTCATTAAAGTCACAAAACTATACAGTAGTCAATGCCTGGACCAGTGGTAGGGATGGGAAACCACTGCACACTACATAGCAAAATTCGTTTAGCTCTTTGTTTTTATGTGCTACCTGTTTCTAGAGAAGCTTTGAGGCACTTTATAGTGATAGATAAATCAACAGCTGGACCATTAAAATGAAAAACCAAGAGCCACTTACAACTGGGGGATGAGAAAGGGAAGAGAAGTGTCAGAAAATTAGGGTAGTAACATCACAGGTACTAAATGCCCTATTTACCTCTGAGCTTCCTAGCAGCCAAGACAGAAAGGGAAATACAATTCACATAGGTTGTATATCTAATAAGAAGTAGTTTCCTTCTGGAAAGAAGACCTTTTCCTTTCAGATAAAATTGTAATGGAAATTTATCTTAAAGAATACTGATTATAGCAGAGTCAAGTTTTAAAAAGAATCGAGCCTCCTAATGTTTACGGGCACAACACGACATAATTGCTCTATGAACATAAGCCAGAAATGAGGTCTACTTTGCTTCTTGCGCACAAACTTGGCATTTCTTAAAGTGCACGCTGTGGCGTCCTGATTCCATAGGGTGTCGATAATTGTCAGGGAGAAGTGTCAGTTAAGTTGAAATAAAGTGAACAAGGGTTCTTCACTGCAGGATTTCTCTGGGCCTCAGAGGGTGCTATGAGCACACAGCATTCCCTAAACTTATCTGCACACAAACTCTCTCCTGGCAGAGCAGGCTGCAGGCTAGGGCGCCCCCTGGGGAAGGCTGCTCCCCATTTCGTTCAGCGGATTTTCCTTTCATCGGG